CGAAGCCACTTCTTAGGAGGGGAAACAAGGCCAAAGGCATGGGGTGAGCCAAGACATACCAATGTATATAAGGAGATGGCCAGGAGAGAGAATGACACATGGTGGACTCGTGGTGTTTGGCCTTGTTGGCTACCTGGGCCCAAACAGCTCCAGACTGAACAAGGAAAACTAGCACTCCATTCTACAGAAACATTAATGGGGCACAAGACCGAGAAAGTCAAACAATCTGACATTGCAGAAAGGTCTCCTGAATATTGTCATATCAAGCTGAAACAACATTGAAATAGGTTTTTACAAAAAAGTCCACAAACTCCAGTGCATGCTGTCATCAAAACATATCTGATATTGTCATCGATTACTTAAACTAAATTACAAAGCAAATGTAAAATAGAAGTATCTTTATAAGTGGTTTTAGAAAATTTGGATCCCATTGTATGTACATCTCTGTGATTTTACAGAGACATGCTGTAAAATGAGTGACAATTGGAAACAGGAGTGTTTGCCCAGCACCATGTGTTCACTGGGCTGTTACCATGCCAGTCATGGAGCTATACAGACCACTGCCAGACCCAGAGTCCTGCACAGGGGGCATAGTTGGCACCAACCCTGCCCTGAGGGTCACCACAAGTGGGAGAGAGGAAATTAGGAGGACGGAGGAAATGAGGACAGGAAACAGGACATAATGCAGAGCGGATTTTGGGATGCCACATATTGTGCTGAAAGGGCTCAGTACATATAGCAATAAAGATACCAGAAAAGAAGTGAGAACCCTGAGGACTGACTATGCAAACAAAGCAAAAATGAAACAGCTGCACTGCACAGGGAAATCACAATGAGCTTGTTTGGAAAACTCTCTGTGGTTAATGAATAGGAAATCTTAACGAGACACAGAAAATATAAGTACGACTACTTTTCTTACTTGTACTTCAACTTGTAAATGTGATTAAGCGCACACAGTGCACACAATGGCACGGAAATGGAGTCCACAAGGAACGAAGTCAATCTTCAAATCTATCTGTCTCACCAGCATCTCTTCCCACATCTGACACCTTGCCACATCACACATACACTAAACACACACATGAAACCAAAGATGGTAGAGAGAAGATGAGTTATATTCATTATAGATTGAAGCAGATGGCAGTATACAGAAAGTGTACAGAAAGATATTCTGCAAGCATGTACTGTATGTATGTGGTGTGTTCACAGAGGGCACTTAAAATCTGCAACCATGTTTTTTGAGGGGCTGTTGTGGCGGCTGGCTGGTTGTCTGGTTGGCACCCACACATTTGTGTACTGGGAGACAGATGCATTCTTACATAAGACCTTATATAATGCTGCCCTGTCCTATCCAATAAGAGTGCTCCTTTTTCACTCTGTGAGCGGGGAGGTTAGTGCGGGTTAGACAACCCTTCCTCAACACAACCACCACTGCTTACACTTACATGTCCACCCCCCTAACTCCTGGCAATGAAGAAAGATGAAAAGACAAGCTGAGCAGAGGGAGAGATGGATTCGGCCCCCCGTTCTGTATGGTTCTATCCCCTCGGTCCCCTCCTCTCTCTCTGGTTTGTTGGGAGGTTTTGTCCTTAGGTGAAGAAAGGATAATGCGAACCTGGAACCTAAACAAGCACCGCCATTAAATGTATGTGTGTTTTGTGTATGTGATGGAGAAACAGTGAGTGAAAGCAAGTCCACAGATGGGTGAAAACTCCTTATACTTTGAAGGCACTGTTGGAATATTAGGTTAAAAACAAAGTAGGACGTTTGAGGGAACATGATCCATGTTCCTTTAAAACTATACAGCTGAGAGAGACCAGAGGAAGGAGCAAGGAGGAACAGGCTGGCCAAGCATGAAAGCAGATGTCAGAGGAGACTAGAGACTCTAGGAGAGAGATAGAGGGAAGAAGAACATGGAACAGAGATGGATGGATGGATTCTGTGATCGCTTAAAAATAATAAAGAGTGGAAAAGGGCGAAAAAAGGTGGGGGTGAAGTGGTGAAAGAGCGAGCAGCCTCCCCCTGCAGCGCAAGCCTCTCTTTCTCTCTTGCGCTCTCATTCAAAGGCAGTTAGTTACTCTTTGATGTATCTATAATTAGTCAGTACACACTGTGAAGTGTTTTAAAAGAATCAAATTGCATTGAAACACTTGAGCGCTCTAAACAGGGGCTAACATGCTCCGCAGCAAGGCGAGTGAGCAGGAAAAATTAATGGCGGGCCTTTTTGATGTGCTTGATCAGAAATGTATTTATTAACTGCAAAGGGGAGTAGTAATTAACCCACAGACAGCTTGTTTTCTCTGGGTCTTCTCATGTGTCAAATGGTTCATCCCGCAAGGCTCCACTCTCCACTCGCCAGCTCATGCACACACACCTCCCATCCCATCCCGCTGGACCACTTTCTCCTCAATTAAGTAGACTGTGTGCAAGTGTATGAATGTGTGTGTGGTTTTATGTGCCTCAGTGTGTGTATGCTTATGGTTAAGGATTGCATAAATACAGCAATAACAAGAAAGAAATGCATAGTGGCTGCTTTAAATCCCACGCGTAAGTTTATGTTATTCCTGTAACGTGCATGTCTGTAAGGTTGTGTGCATTTGCAAAAAAAAAAAAGTCCATACGTAGATTATAATATTGTGTATATACAATGTTCCTAACAAAATGGTGCAAAAACCATTTTGCTATGGTGCAAAAAAAGCACAAAAAACTGGAGATTTTCTTCAGAATTGGCATAACTGACTTGGACACATCTACAGACTTCTCTCTTTACACAAAGTTGTGATAGACACAGGTGGACAATTGAGGGAAGTCAATAAAACCCATAAATGTGTAAATGTGTTTGTATTAGTGTCAGGTTGGAAGAGGTGAAGGAGTTTTGACACTGATAGTCAACAGAAGCTGGGATGGCCTCAAGGGAAACCTGACAAGGACGCATTTGAACACCCTGTCACCAAAAGCGAACACAAGGATCTTTCAAGTCTCTGTTTTGATTTTATTTTTCCCATACTGCATCTGGTAGAAGCTATGCGTTTATATATGCACATACTGTATGCGTGTCTGTAAGAGGGTTTTCACATGACGAGGACATCACATAAAAGAAAGAAGTAAGAACCTCACTGAGGCCTGTACAAACAGAAAGAGAGAGAGAGAGAGAGAGAGAGAGAGAGAGAGAGAGAGAGTCTGACTGAAGGAAACACAGAGAGACAGAAAGATACAAATAGAGAGAATAGCTAGTCTTCGTCACACAGTGAGAAAGCCCAGGAGATTGTGAAGCTGTCACGGACAAAACACTGCATGAATATTTAGCAGCCAAATTAAAATTACAAAATACAAAACAAAAAAGAGTAGGTGAAAGAAAAAGAAGGAAAATAAAATATCCCTGAAAACACCAGTGGGACAAGTGCCCACCTTTAATCCCTCACTAGCTGTATCCTCATTGTGCCACCTCCATCCTTTTTCCTTGCCTAAGAAAAGAGGCGAGATGTGTCCTAAATAATATGGAATGTAGCGAGTCTAGCTATAGACCCTGCAGATCAAGAAACTAGCAGACTAGTAATGTAACCAAGCTCTCAGATCATAGAGGGGCTTGCAAGCACAACTAATGCAATGTGTTGGGTAGCAGAGCTTAATGCAGTGCAGTCCTTTGCAGTATTTAAAATGCTATTACAACTAACAGTACACTAACAGTAAGTCTGGCACTGACCCAAGCAAGCTGTATACTGACATGCTGGGATTTCAGAAAACAAAAATTGATTTATTTTTTATTTATTTTCTTTTTTTTAAGCATCATATCATGTGTAAACATCACATCATCATAACTTTAATCAAGTTCCTTGTGTGCTCAACAAACATTATAGTTATGGTATTGTGATCTTTGAAATAAAACATTCTATTAAATTCAATGATACAAACAAAAACACATTGCCAGAGTGAGATTTTAACACTCCTGAAGTATTACCAACACAGTACATGAGTTTCCACTGCTTTGTATATAACTAGTACATTCAATTGGATGATGAATCAAGCAGCAAGTAGTAAGGTAGCAGGGTACAAACATAAACATGTCCACTACCTACTATATCTCCTAAATACTACACTGTCCACATAAGGAAAGGACACCACAATGTAATGGTGATCTGCACGCACAAGCTCTATTATTACAGAAGGTAACTCTTATTAAAACACTAGGAGAAGAGCTGGTGATGATCAATATGTGATGCAGACTCCCACTAGACATCACAGTAAACCAAAGACTAGAAAATAAAACATTAACCTCAGAGGCCTTCATATAACCCACAAAAGACACACTGTAGGCCCATTTAGCTGAAGGGTAGGGTTATAAAGCCAACAAGCTGGCCAAACTTTTATTTTCACCCTCCCCAGTGCACCATTAATTCTGTCAAGTCCACTTCCCTCCCACCATCTTTCGACCTATCCACTGTCTCTCTTAAGGCGGAGAGATCTGCATGCTCTGCAGCAAATCTGGTTCAACAGCAACACTGTTGTTGCACTGCCATTCCTTCATTTTTCATCCAATCCTCTTCTTTCCCCTCTTTTCCTCTCGTTCTTGATGTGCAGAGGAGGCAGATAGTGCCCAAGGACAAGGATGAACCAGATTGTTTACAGAGGCAGTACTTTCTCAAAGAAAGTAAATGCATTTTATTTTTAATCGTTCCACGATGTTTCACACACTATCTCTCTGTTGTCTGTATTCCTGAGGTGGCCCGTAAAAGTACTGCTCTGCATGTTTGTATTTATGTGTGTTTAAGAATGTCATTTTCCTGCATCCTAATATGTCTGTGTGCATATATAGGGGTTAGTATACGTTGAAGTGTTGCCAGTTTGAATTATTGTTTGTATACGTGTTGGACAATGCACATTTTTCAACATGTAGGTATATGTGTGAGAGTGACCGCGCCGACAGGAATGTATTGTGTGTGTCAAAGCGTCTTTATGTTGGTGGGAGGTAGGAAAGACTAGCGGAAAACTAAAACACTCACCAGCTCAACGAAAGACAGCCCTCCATAGCTGTGGGCCACGATGAAGACATTTTTGGCTGCGGCTTTGGACACAAAGTGGTCCCACACGTACAGCACGTGTTCCTCGGAGGAGCCGTTTTCCTGCCACACAAAAAAAATAAACTGTAATGTCATATCCATAACAAAGAAGACTCAAAGAAATCTTATATGCTTGAAGGTTGCCGACATACTCAGTTGTGCAACTACAAAACATTTAAGATGTGTCCAGCCAATGAGTGTGAAGCATCAATAGAGTTTAATAACTCTATTGATGCTTTAATGCTGCAGCATCAAAACCTGCACCCTAGGGCCAGCCAAAAAGAGAGAAATACAAAAAAGTGGTGGTAGCCTGAGGTGATTTCTACAAAGAGCCACACTTCAGCAGATCAATAAGTCTTGCATATTGCAAATGCCCTAAATGTAAAACTCAATAGGCAGGATGACGTAACATTTAAATCTTAATTTGTACCCCGTTGCTGAATCGATGGGCCATCTAAACACCAGTAGAGGCATAATGGGAAGACACTAGGGGAAGGTCAAAGGAAAAAACAACAGAAAGGAGACATACACATCCATATACAAAACACACACACTCTTGCACAGCATTGCAATCACAAATGACTACACCTATGTTCTCCTCATCTGCATGTATACAGTTATACACACATGTGCAGGAACACGTAACAAGAAGACATGTTTAATTAACCTGAGATGTAAGTGCTTATCCAAGGCTGGAAAGAACAATAGTAAAAGTACAGGCGAGAAAAGGGCAACCGTTAATGAACTTGTGACATTGATTCTAGACTTTGATTTCCCATCAAACTGTCTGGTTCACAATAGAAATCAACAATACATTCCCAGAGGAGGTTACATTACACGCGGTGCCTTGCTGACTAGAAACACCTGTATCCTGCACCGCAACACCACACCATACTGTTACCATACTGGATGCAAACATGCTATTTACACACACACACACAAGCATTTCTCTTAATTAGCATACATACGCATATAAAAATAATATCTCAAAATAAACAAACACATGGCCTACAGAGAATGGAACCTCATCTGTTAATTGAGTGTCAAACTGCTCAATGCGACTCAAAACAAATAATTAGCGATATAAGGTAAAGGACAGCGAAGGTGTCTTAAGAGACGATCCTGTTGGTTTCAATAAATGCGCCTGAATTCTACAAACGCAGCATACTATCAGAGAAGGATAATTACTTTAACATTCGCTCTCTTGAAGGCGGTAATTGAGAAGAAGCGCAAAATGCACACACAGACACATGAGAGAAAATATGGTTTAAACTTTAGTTTTAAAAGAAAGCGAGCCAGCTTGTGATGTGCTGTTTTCGCTTGCATGCGTCTGTGTGTACAAGTCTGTGTGCGCTTGTACTATTTGATGATGTGCTGATGTGTGTTTTTGTTGCTGTGTTTGTCTTGAGGTAAATTAACCTGTCAGAGTGTTTGTGTTTGCGCTAGATTAGCATGAGGGGGTTGTAGTGTCAGCACCAACCTCCATTCACAGAGTGTGATGCAAGAGCAGGCAACTTCGCTCTGCCCTGCCCTTCTGCCATCAGTGCAGCGCGTTTGCCCGTGTGTGTGTGTGTGTGTGTGTGGTATCCGGCATGCGCGGAGTGGCTGGCTGAAGCAGAGTTGTCTGTCTGAAAGGCTGTGACATCAAAGTCCTTTGAAGTCTCCCTCCTCTCTCCACCGCCATGCCACCCTTCATCTGCGAAGCCCATTTCATTAGCCGGCCTCACTTCCTCACTCTTTCTCTCTCTTCTACCTTCTTTTCTCCTCCACTGATGCCACCTGTTCTTCTTCTTCACACTCCTTCCTGCCTCTTGTTTCGTCCACCTCTCCACCCCTCCTTTAATGACGACACCTGATATGGAGACATCAGGCGAGGTTTGATATTGAACGTAGCGCTTCTATGTGTTGCTTCATGAGTAAGTCCAAAATAGCTGGTAACAGCATGCAGCAAGGAGTGACAACTGACAAAATAGTACCCTTTAGTCCATGTGAACATGAGATGCATGTTTTATTTGTTTCCATACTAGTAAAAATAACAATACTTTAGAAAAAAAAAGCGATGCAAAGTTGATGTCTTCATGGAAGGTGTGGTGGTATGCTCCCGACTCCATCGCCCAAACTTGCACACGAACACACACACACTAGCACACATTCTTTGCCAATACCCTCAGCAGCAGGCAACAGCGTGACTGACTACCTGGCATGGCAGTGTAGTGAATTATCTAAACAGCATTTGCATATTGTTGCAATTATTTCCTGGGGTTAATTCGCTGCAGTGGAGCACACCGCCCTGCGAGACTGGCTTCCTGTCACAAGCTCTCACACAGTGTCTTAGTTTATTTATTTATTTTCCAGAGTTTCCCCAACACTATCTTTGGTATTTGTTTATGTGTTTATGTGTGTGTGTGTGTGTGTGTGTGTGTATTGTGTGCGTGCACCTGCCAGCACCGTCAGAATGGCATCCCAACTGCACACCTGTTGCCAGCATCCTTCAGCCATGACTGTCAAGGGACATTCGAGGGTGTGTAGTGTTTGTCTACGTGTTTACGGAATATACAGGGATCCATACTGTCCCCTCAGAGAATATAAAAATACAAATATGCACCCGAAGACAGTCCCAGGACCAAACACTCTCCAGATGCTGACAGCTAACTATTATCAAAAAGAAATGAAAATGGCAGGAAGAAAGTGAGAGATAGAAAGAGAAAGAGAGAGAACAGAAAGTCATGTATATCATAGATACAGTAAGTCTTTATGAACCTAGCACAAAGTGACAGCAGTCTATAGGAAGAGCATGACAGCTTCTTTCAGCTATGAACTTCTCGAACATGCTGCAGCACAAAGAAACAGACACAGGCACAGGAAACTCCATGTATATCAACAAAACTAATGTGCAATATAGTTTTCTGAAAGTACTTTAATCACACAGCTTTTGATTAAAGGGACATACTCAGCGGACTCACTGTGCAGTTTAGTCTGTACAGTCAGGGATGATGCAAACCAAGGCTTTGATATATATATATTTGTAAAATAAGTGACAACCTAAGTATACCTACCACCCCACCCTTTAAAGCAACTCACCTAATACAACACAGATGCAGTCAACTGGTGCTCACACAGTTAGTGAAATGGAGCTTATCTGAGTGTAGTGAATGCGTCTCAAGTGATTGTGGTATAACGACACCAGAATGGTGAATCAGTACTCCTGGCTGCAATTACATCATAAAGGCACAATGGAAACTCTAAGCGACTCGGTGAAAAGGTTACTGAAACGCGTAAGTCAGGGGATGAATACAAGAATACTTTCAAGTCACTAAATGTTCTTTGGAGTACAGTTACAGTTAAATCTATCATTTAGAAATTTAAGGAATGTGGCAAATGCTTATATCTGTCTAGAACAGGCTGTCCTCAAAAACTGAGTGACCATGCAAGCAAGAGTCTAGTGAGGGAGGCCACCAAGACAGCTATGACTCCTCTAAAGATGTGTCAAGCTTCAGTGGCTGAGATGGGAAAGACTGTGAACACAACACCTGTTGCCTGTTTTTCACCAGTCAAAGTTTCATGGGAGAATGGCAAAGACAAAGGCACTTCTGAAAAAAAAAAACTCATATTAAATCTCAACTAGAGTACACCAGAAGGCATGTGGGAGACTCTTAAGTCAACTGGAAGAGACTTCTTTGGTCTGATGAGATCGATACTAAGCTTTTAGACTATCAGAGTAGACACTATGTTTGGTGGAAACTAAGCACTGCACATCACTGCAAACACAACAACCACTCCATGAAGCATGGTGGTGGCAGCATCATGATGTAGAGATGCTCTTTGGCAACAGGCTCTGGAAGGCTTGTAAAGGTACAGGGTAAAATGAGACTCTTGTCAAAAAAGCCAGAAATTATTAGCCAATATGAAATGGTAAAAAACAATGAAAGAGGAACATTTCTCAGGGGGGTGAATACTTTATACGAGTACTGTGCGTGTATAATGTATGATTGATATATATATCATACACTTTGTATTTATATGCCACTAACAGTTGCAATAACAATTGTAGTTTTGGCCAAGTTCCTGCCACCCAACCTACAAAACGCTGATTTGTGTTATAAATTATGTCAGCATCATGACTGCCGCACAACATGCTACACAACATTGTGTGTGAATATCTACTCCACTTTCAGTCCGTAAGTGGTTCCAACTGTTAGTCCTTTGTTGAATGTGTGCCTTCCAATTGTCTACTTTCAAGAATTTGTT